GTCTCAAAATGGAGACTTGTTTCCATATATGACATGACTGTGCTGAAGCTGCTTTCTGCAGGACGTTAAGAATTAAATTATATCATCAAGAGTGGACAGTTATGGTTGCCATTACTCAGTTGTAGTAATTACAGTGGGGTTTTTTAAGGGAAATAATAAAATGTATGTGTTTTTTGTAAGCTGGAAATGAGAAAGTGAAACCAAATGCTGGATTACCAGAAAGACAGATACATTGCTCAGCTTTTGTCATGGATCACGAGTAAAGAAAGGGCTCCTTTTTTGTGTGTTTATAATATTTCTCTGAATTTCGCAGTTTATTTTATCTTAAAGTGTGCTTAAAGTCAGCGTGAAGGGGAGAGCATCTTTTGGTTTTGTTGTAAAGAGGAACTACTGAGCTTTTCTTGAGACTTTGCTTAAAATAATGTTTAGTCCAGGTACGAAAAGTACTCAAATACACAAATTGTACCTAAGAACATAAAAGCTTTTGAAAACTTTTCTTAATTTCCTTGAGTTAAAATAGATTTGAAGAATAGCTTGTTTTTGGCTTTTTTCCAGTGATAAGTAACTGACTCTGCAAAATCAATGTTTAGTAAGTCACTGGAACATTTGCTAATAAGATTGTAGAATAAATGAGTTTTTAATTGAGGTAAATAATTGTTTAATCAAATGCATATGTTTATGTTCTTTCTTGCTAGATTTGGATATTTTAATCAAATTGGATTTTTTCAAATTCATTTCCCTTAATGAAGTAAAGAATTTCTTTCGTAAGTTAAATTAGTTCTTACCACATCTTATATTCATATTTCAAAGGAAAACACAAAATACGAAAGTCATAACAGAAGTATGAAATTTAGTACTTGTCTGCCTCAAGTTCCACAGATTTTAACATGCGTGGCAAGATCCTTAAACACTGCATTTCCTATACTGTAAGAACCAGACACATTTCTTCGTAGTCTCTTATTAAGCAGCTCTGAGTCTTTAGCATGGTTCATTCTTACTTTTCTTCATTACTTTTGTTCTGGGCATGGGGACTGGTGAGGACTAAAAAAGTACCTGGTCTGCTTAGGAAGTAGCTGTTCTATATGTAGGCAATAGAAGATGTTTTTATCAGGGGGTTTCTTATACAGTGGACTTGTTAGGTAGGTCACCACGTGGAAATTTTGTTGATTCTTGTGAGCGCTGGTTGCTGCAGAATGATCATAAATATTCCAGAGTAAGTAGAAACATTAGGATTTGGAGATCTTTTTTCCCCCAGTACATTTGGAGCTGCTTAAACACTTGGACTAACAAAGATCCTCATGTGCAGTCTCCCAAGATATGCTGTCTCTTTTTTCTTTAAGGATGTGTGTTTGGGACATCATCTCAAGCAAAGACAACAACTGTCTTACAGACCAGCAAGATCCAGTAGTGTTTTGTACATGCTGAAAACTTCAAACGTGAAAAGTTGGCAAAGTAAGGGAATGTGAGGGTGATGATGCAGAGAAGCAGGCAGAGGGAATGTGAGGGTGATGATGCAGAGAAGCAGGCAGAGGGAGAGCAACAAGGGTGTAGTAACTGGATGGAACTTCAGCACCTGAGCTCCACTAAACACTTGTAATTCTTGGCTTTTAGGATGCTCTTGTGTTTGTGTGTCACACTATCTTCTGGAAGTTGTTCTGATTAGTTCTGATTTTGACTTGAGGAAGATTTGAGCACATGGAAATAAAACTGAGGAAAACGATTGGGGAAAAACCACTAGTAAAAAACTTTTCATAGATAAATATATTGGGTGTAGAGAGATTTTAATCATAGTGGAAGGAGAGACTGACTCCATTTGATTGCTTTTTCTCTGTTGTTGATGTGGAAGCAGTTAATCTTAGCTTAAGCCACTTCTGCTTAATTTTTAGCACAATCCCACTTTTCAACATGTGTGAAGTTAGATACATTCCAAGTAGTGCAGCATTAAATTGGTCAAATTGATTTCTGAATTCTCTGGGGATGAGGTGAATCCTACAGTAGTCAAATGCAAAGTGAGAAACATGTCAGGAAATCAAGGGGAAATATTCTTAGCTTTGTCTCTGTACAAATGTTAGAACAAACAGTATTCCTGAGCACAGGTGTGTTATTTATAGATGAACACAATGCAGTGATGAGCGTGTCTGGGTGACAATATGAGACGAAGAGCACGAGAAATAGAGTTAAATGTTAAGAATGGTCTTCTGAATTTGTCAGATGTCCTGTTCTGATAATTCTGTTTGATAGTCTAGCTGGCCTGACAGGCAAGAGAAGCAGTAGCTGCAGATACAACTGGACTCTGACAAAACTGTCTAACATGAAGGCTCACTCTGTGTTCCTGAGTTGTGATCTTGCTGGTCACTACTCTGTCTTTGCAACAAAAGAGTCTGAATTATGATTTTCTATGAGTTCTGAGCTTGGACTTTTAAGATGGTTATCTGAGAAACTGAATACTGACAGTGGTACATTGGTACAAAAGGTAGGGGATCATTTGTTAAACCAATACTTGGCTTTATCTATGATACTTGATTACTGATGATTGATTAAGACTGCACCCCAGGTGGGGTCCTGCAGTGTGCTCCTTCATCTTGTATCTCTAACACACTGAAGAAAATTTGGTTGGCAGGATAGAAAGTATGCTTAGAAAGAAATTAGGTCATTACCAAATGCTGTTAAAGTCAGTTTTGAATTTTAATTCTGTCTTGAAATTACTGTGCCTGAAGTCAACAACATGAAATTTGTTACACAAATGTAGAGCAGTTGTAGGGGGCATAAAAGTTTCATATTAATATAAAACTAGGGGACAAAATCAAGGCTGAGATAATGGAGAAGAGTATTTGGGGACAGTGAATGTTAAACATAGGAACTGAATTTTTGAGGGAGGGAAAGAAACAACCTGGGATATGTTAATAAGAATGCAGGTAATAAGATCTAATTGTTCTGAGTAACTTAACATCATTGAGATTTCAGTAGAAGTACTGCCTGGTCTAGGCATCCTGCTTTTAGATATCATCAAATTCTAGGGCCCAGGAGAGGCAGTGGGAACAGGCAGCTGTTTGGAAGGAGCAGCTATACAAAAATACTCCAAGTGTTAATATGTACAGTTTGGAAGGAAAAGGTTGCATACTTCAATAAACTTGCAAACTTCAGGGTAATACAGATTTCTCCCTTTTTTATTTTTTTTCTTTGTATCCTGTATTGTTCTATTTATTTTTTTTATCCAAAGTATGTTATTATTTGATTTTTCTTTTACTCATAGTCCAAATTAATGAAACATTAAAGATTACTGTTTTTCTTGGGAGATGGAGAATATAGCAATAGTCAGCTTTTGTGTTGGTTAAAGTATTGATTTCAAATCAGCTTTGCAATATTCTTTTAGCATTATGAGTGGAGTGGCACAGATATCTAAAGTTTTAGTGTGCAGAAGTGTGGATGTGGAGAAAAGCAAGATACTGTTCATGTAAAACAATGATACAATTTTCATATTAAAAACAAAATGTGTAACATGTAAGATTTTAATAATATTTCACAGCTGAACTTTATTACTTGTAGCTAGTTCATTGCTTTATCAAAGCTTAGTGAATGTTTCTTTAATTTCTTATGATTCACAGTTTCTGTGTGTGTTCACAAGTTCCTTTTGTCTTCACTACACACCCCCTCACCTCCCTGTGGTTGATTCAGACTTCATAATATGTCTTTGTTTTCTGAGCTTGCAATACTAAATAACTTTGGGAGTATATATTCCCAGAATAGTTTAGCTGCTGTGAAACACTGCTAATTTTCTTAAAGAACTTTAATTTCCTTGCATTCATAATTTCTGCTTACTCTTAAATCATTTCTGGTCTTTGCAGTTTCATAAGGATTTCAAATACATTGAGTTTTAGTACTCAAGCCCAGTTTTAATTAGCTGAGGAAATGAAAGCCAACAACTTCTTCACAATTCCATTGAATAACTTTGTTTACCAGGATCTAAAATATCCAGAGCAGAACGTTACAGCAGAGTTTCTGTTCTTTTAATTTCTTCTTTGAATTTAATGTTCAGTCTGAAACTTCTTAGTTTATCTATCATTTGAACTGGTGCTTCATCTTGGCACTGCAGTTGTCACAGAATGAGGCTCTGTGTTCTCAATGCTACCATCACTTAGTGCTTTTTTTATTTATGTCATAAATAAATTATTTCAGAATGTGTGGTTGAAATAATGAGAGAGGAAAAGCTCTTGAAAATAACTAGGAAATAATGTTATGTATGGCTAAATGGTGGTATTACTGTGTTGAGTGTAGGCAGGGGGCTGTATGCTGAAGTCAGCCAATTAAACATGAAATGCTTGCTTTATTTGTATGTACAACTAAATAAATGAAACAGTTTACAAAAAGTGATGTGCTTTTGTTGTGTCTGTATAGACACATAACTTTTTATATATACAAATATTTTATATATATATATATGTGTGTGTGTGTGTGTGTATGTATGACAACACCATATTTTTAAGAAATGTTGCCCATGAAGCCTAAAATAAACACAAAAGAGGCCTCACTTGTTTTTTCTGAAGGAAATGCCAAGGCTTGGGTGGATAAAGAAGGGTTATTTTTGATGTCCTTCCAGACTGAGTGCCCAGCCCTCCCTGTGTGTTTCCTTGCCATGGTGCACCTTGTTGGCCTATGCATGAGCACGTTAGTGGTGAGGGAGCAGCTCAGAGTTTCTGTAAGAGCTTGTACAACATAATGAGGAGGAAATTAGGAGCTGCTGCTGCTGATGTAGACTACCTGATGTTACATCTAAAAGACCTAGTTCCACCTGAGACTTGTATCCCCAAAGCTGGAGTCACGTGGGTACTTAATGTATGAAAACAAAACAGTACCTAACTGATTTTTCAACCTCAGGCATTTAGTGTGCTGTCCTAAGCCATTAAACACTTGATATTTTTAGACACATAAATACATCTTGTTAAATTTCAAACTAATTTTATTTATTGATTTTTTAGAAATTATTTATTTTTTTCTTTCAGTTTAACTTTGTTGGAAGAATCCTTGGGCCCAGAGGACTAACAGCTAAACAGCTTGAGGCAGAAACAGGATGCAAGATAATGGTCCGAGGGAAGGGCTCAATGAGGGACAAAAAGAAGGTAAGGTCTTGAAGGGCAGTGTAGTTTCAGATGCATAATTTTGTTTTCTACTGGAGAATAAGCTCATGTCTCTCATTCTTGTTGTGTTCTTACTATTATGCTTTTTTGTTCTCTAATGTCTTACACAGGCTTAGTAAATAACGTGGCTGTCCTGAAGAAGTAAAATGTGCACACTCCATAATTCTGCAATTGGAAGTCTTAACTAGCAATTACAAAGTATTCTAAAGTAATAATTAACTTTGAATTGTGTCACATTTCATAAGGTAAAGGTACCAATAGAAATTAAATGTATTTTTCTAGGAAAGAGCTGTTCATCTCAAAGGTCTTATTAATAACTGTATTGTACTGAATTACCAAAGTATTGATTTGTGCATGGAGTGTGGATTGGGAAAAAAAAAGTTAAATGTATTTCTGGCAGTCACTTCTCTCTGAGTGAAGCAAAAAGCACTGTGTTGGTTTTGTTTTGTGTTCAGGTGGAGTTGCAAAGTAATTAGGCTGTTCTTGCCGTGGCCTGGAATATGCATGCTCTGCCCATATGAATGGGCAAACTGCATGAGAGAGCCTTCCTGAATGTCAAGCTGCTCTCGTGGTAACTCTGTTTTTCTAGGTTTATTTTCTAGCTGTTTCTCTCTACCTCTGGCTACTGCTGCTGAAGTTGCACCACCATCACCACCATCTCCACTGTAGTTTTGAATGTTTCCTCTTTGTTCCCAAAAATACAGTTTCTTTTTATTCTTTTTTAGGAGAAACCCCCCCCCCCTTTTCCTTGCATGATCAGCCACATAATACATTCTATTGATAGGTATATAGTACGTAACAATTACAACAGAAAGTTAATACCTACCCAGGGAAACATCTTTTTCTTCCCAGAGCTTATAAATGTGTTACCTTCAAATTTCATTTAATGTCTCTTGTTTTCATAATCTGGTGGAATATGATCGCCGTCCTTTGTCTTACTCTACCATTGTTGTAGTTTTTGGAGTGTGTGAATTGCCAGTTAGGGAATCACCGAGTGGTGGGGGTTCACTCCTCAGGCAGAGGCACCATGTCCAGGTTCCCTAGGACCATGCCCAGGTGCTGCTAGGTGTAGGGTCCTCCTAGCACTGTGCTTCAAATCCTGTCCTGTCCTGTGGGAAGTCGTCTCTCTAGACAGCTTGGGCAGGTTTAATTTCTGGGGAAGTATTTTTTGACTGATTTCCCCTATTCTTCACGCCTTTTTTTTTTAGTTGTGCTTTTTTACAATTCACAGAAGATTAGGCCGTGGGAGTTACTGGAGTCTTTTATTTAAGAAAAAGACTAGAAGAACTGATACCACCTTAGTCACCTATTTAAGTTTAGTAAGAAAGGAAAACTACCTTCAACAGGGACAAGTATGGCAGATCAGATAAAACCTCATACAAATTAAAAACTAGAAATTGATCCAGTCAGCACTTGAATGCCCATTACAGCTTCAAAGCTGGGCTCTCTCGTAATTTTTAAACATAGAGTTCTTGACCATTGAAAATTTAATGAGATAATACTGCAGTTAGTGTGAAATATATTTGAATGACATCATATTATAACATAATTTGGTATTTGTATACCAAGCAGTATGATATAGATTGTAAACCAGTGTTTGGTGCCAAATAATTTTCTTAAGAAAACTGATTTTCATACCATTCAGTCTTAATATTTTCGACTCATTTCCTTTCCTGAGGTGATTTGTATTGGTCATTAGTTTACATTTTTCAGAGAAGACTTTTTGGTGCTAATACCACTGTTGATGAAGTAGGAAGAATTTCATAGTACTTGATTATGGTGCACACCAATAAGATATTTCTTGTAAAAATAATGATTTGGAAGCTTATCATTAATCATTGCCATGATTTAAGACATGGCAATCGCAGACAGAAGAAAGAATGAGTGACATCTCTCAGTCTGAAGCACGAGTATACTTCTTGCTGTTGACTGTTGCCTCTTTTCCTGATAAATTATACTTACAGGTTTTTTTAGAGTTGCTGTTGTTTGGAAAAGTCAGTATTTTAGATTTTTTTTTCACTGAATAGTTTTGAAATTTGGAAGAGATAAGAGATGCAGGTTAATATTTTAGATGCATTTTGTGAGTATAATTTATACCTGCAAACCTGATTTCCCAGCGCTAATTATAAAAGAAAGTTTATTAGTTGTAGGAAGGAGTAATTACTAAAGCAGTGTCAATCTTAGTGACAGCTACATGGTACTCAATACTTGAATAAACTGTCAACGTGCTTTTGCTGCCTTGCTAGTAGTTGCAGAATCCAAGAGAAAATACTAAGACTGACATTCTGGAAAACAAACCATCCAGATATGCTCTGCAGAGAATTTTGCTTTGCTCTGTGATCCTATGAAAGAAGTAATGAATTAGGAATCCTTGTCATGTGGCCAAAATACTTGAACTGGCATCACATCTTTTAAACTTGCTGACAGATTCTCTCCAGAAAGCAGGGGAAAGCCTCAAATTGTTTGTAGTTGAGGCTCAGCTGGTAATCAGAATATCTCTCTCTAGGCAGCTTTCAACAAATTTAAAATCAAAACCTTAATTACTGAGAATACTGTGATTAGAGCCTAGGGGTACTTGAAGGAGATTATTGGGAAGGGGAAAGGGGTTGCAGGCATTTATCAAATGCTAATGAATGTGTAACTTTATTAAGACCAAGGCATTTTTTGCTCAGTCTGAATGTATCTTTTATTAGGTGAACAAGAAAACTAATAAGTTGCACACCAGTTAAAGGATGTGTGTAGTGACGACTGTCCAATGATGAATAAGCAAAACATTTTTTTTGCATCTCCCCTGTCTTACATCAATTCTGTAAAACAGGCATTGATGTGCCTCAGCCCTGTGCTCTTTAACACACTGCCAGTATCTCACTTTAGAGAGGGGTATGAAGCCCAACAGCATCAGCATGCTGGCTTGTGGCAGCCTTGGTCAACTCTGTTGGGTTTTTTCCATTTCTTTCTACTGTTAGACAGGAATCTCCCCTGGAACAGTGTGTGATGAGAGAGCATAATTCATTTTTACTTCACAAGGAAGCCATCTCATTATGATATACAGAATATTTTTTCTTACAATTGCTACTTTCAATAGGAGGACAAGCAGCTAGCAGGTCTAAATTTGAAGAACTCTGTGCCTTCATCTTCTGTAGCAGCTTTAAGTCTGTTACACTTCACTCTGTATTATATGATTTGATCTGATTTATGATTTCTGACCTACTTGTTCCAGCTTACTTGTTCCTACAATCCTGCTTACCTTGCAAGCAGAAACATAAGGTTTCATGAAAGACATGCTCTCACTTAGTAGCAGTCTTGACCTTTGACTTGTGCAGAGTTCTTATAGTAAATAGATAATGGCATTTCTCTAAATTCTCCATTTTGCTGTATTTATAGTATAGACTAAAAAGGAATTAGAAAAACCCTGTCCTTGGTACCTGCATGTAGTTTGAGGAAAATATCAGAGGGGAAAAATTTATCTGTCTTGTGATCAGGATATTTTATTAAATTTAAATGCTGTGTAGTATTACATATTTGTAATATTTTTTTGCCTTTTAGGCTTTGAAATATCATCTGATAAACTTTGTTTTCAATGGAAAGGCTTAAACATTCTGTTTAGCTAATAAAGTGGTGTTAGTGACATCAGATAATACATTGTTTTGTGTTGTTGAGCAAGCCCTGTTATTGCCACCTTAATTATAAGATGCTTAGCTTTTATATTCTGTGTCAAGTACTATGTGTGAGCAAATCTGAAAGTTCTGGTGCTGGCACACATGTTGAAATGCAGATATTGAGCATGTGCAAGGAAATGAAGTTGTTCTGTGTTTCAAAATGGAAGGCTGACCAGCCATCATTGTTCTTCAATTCCAGGGGTCAATTCCTTGGCTGAGGCCTGCTGCCTCTAACACATGGCTCTGCACAAAAGCATGCCGGTGCTGTTTGATGATCACACATCTGTGTTGGCAAATGGTGCTTTGGAATGGCAGTTTGAAAAAATCTTGCACCTAGTTGCAAAGGTGGGGTTTTTGACTCTGTCAGTACCTTTAGGAATATTAGGGGAAAAAATACTTTAAATGACTGGGGAAAGAGACATGTGAAAGTGAGAGCAATTTCGTATTCATAATACATGACTAGAGTGATTGTCCTTTTATTTAAAAAATATCCCTTTTTGACAATACTGGTAAAGCTTCTGGAGGTAGATCAGATGCTTACTTTTACATTTATAACTATAACTATTAGAATCCCTTGTCAATGTCCATCCTTAAGGATGCTGTTTATTAAACTGACTTCTAGTTACTGGAAACTGACTGAGACAGTGTGGAGCAGCAGCTGAGCATGTTTGAGATGCTGGGCTCTGCTTGGTTAATTTCTGTGGCAAATCAAAGCTGCAAGTGTTTGACTGTTACATTCATTTGAATGGCCATCAGCTTCCATGACTATCCATTAAAAGCCATTGTATGAGCACACTCCTGAGCTGAGTCTGGGACATGGCTTGTACAGCATGTGTGCTGAATCTGCTGCATTCAGGTTATAAATTTGGAATAGAAAATTACTGAAGGCATTCAGAATAAAGTGTTTAGCATGCTACCCTGAGAACTTCACAACTTCATATACTTCAGGGTCTTCTACAGTGACATTTCCTCTGAACACATTTTTTCATAGGCATTTATGTCTTGATTAAGTTGGATTTCTCAAACTGATCAGGCTTGGGAGGCTTTTTTCATGCTTAATTTTTGGCTACTACAATAACTGGCCTTTTATATTTAAACCAACTCTAAACAAACAAGTGTTAATGTAAACTCACATATTTGTTGTATCACAACTGCTGTTTCAGCACTGGTGTTTAAGATTATACTTAGTGGTCGATACTGCTTTGTCTTCCTTAGAGGTTCATTGTAAAACATAAGATGTGCTGAAAATATTTTTTTTGTAAGCTAATTTATTTTTTTTTAAGTAGTGGGTATCTGAGGAAATGGGCTTTTCTGTTCCAGTTT